CTCTCTCTATATATATATATATATAACGGCCGTCCCGCGCGCTAATCGAAGCACTGTGACACCGTGGCGACAGACGAGCAGACGTGAAATCTCAACGGAGATCTGAGACCGGGGGATATATCAGAGGCGCAGACGACCCGGCAGTTGAGTGGGAAAGAGCAGAGCTATCAGAGGCGAGAGGAAACGTGTTCGAAATCCGTACTTGCCTCCTTCACCTCGGGCTCAGTGGCTTGTGAAGTCACTAGAAGTCTTGCCACAAAACGCTGGAGACTATCACTGGAGACCAAAGTCGACAACTCTCTCCGATTAAAACAAAATAAACAACAACGCGCCATTAAGAAGAAGGACAACTGTTGCTTACCTCTGGATTCATTTACAAGACATCTTTTTGTGTGTTTGCTGTGAGTGTTTCCTCACGTCAGACCAGAATGACGAAACAGTGAGTAATGTGTGCATCTGGGAGACTAGATCAAGATAAAATAGTATTTATTTTACTTTTGTAAAAAAAAATAAAACTTTTACTTGTTCATCCTCTGTTGCCGTTAAGCGTCGAGGGGAGATGCAGTTGTCTATGGTAGGCCAGCTCCGCAGCTCTTTCAGTTGTGATGTTATGTTTTCTTAGGGTTTCTTTGACACCCTCGATCCACCTTTTGCGTGGCCTTCCTCTTCCTTTATAGCCCGAATAAAATAGTAATTGTTTAAATTGAATGACATGTTTTGAATACTTTCAAAGAATAGGGCTTTTCAAACTTTTCTAGAGAACACCCACAATGTTCTTCCCCCAGTGGGTCAAACTGTGCCGGCAGGAAATCACCAGAGGTTTATCTAGACACTGAATCTTCCACACATCGATATGTTATCACAGGGACAGGAAAGACAGATCAAAGGAAAGAATAAAAGAGTGAAAGAACAGAACATAGAGAGTAGATGAGTATTGGGAGTGAGTAAGTAAGTCAGTAAGTTTATTCAGTGTTTAAGGCCATTAGCCCACATCACATCACACAAAACACTCATTGGATAAGTAAAGTCTCCATAATGAATAAGTACAGGTTGTGCACATATCTCTTATCATGGGTCAAACATTTCATATTTCTGTCACTGGGCCGAGTCAGGCTGGGAGGAATTAACAATTTCCTTTGATGTTCAAAGTGTGAACAATAGAACATACAATGAAATGTTTCTTCTATTTCCTGAGAGTTACATTTCTCACAAGTATTGGAAGTAACAGAAAAATGAAACTGGTTTTTTCTTCTCGTTTTGATGTTTCCCATTTGTAATGGTAGAGATCCCCATGTTAAATCACGGATTGTACAAAT